AGAGAGACAGAGAGACAGAGAGACAGAGAGACAGAGACAGAGAGACAGAGAGAAAGAGAGACCAATCCTAGCATCACAGCTCACACCTGCCCCAGAAGAACAGCCTTTCTGTCCAGGTTCTCATCCCCTGGTGCGGAACAGCTAGTAGTTTTGAATTTGAAGGGGATTGGTTGACAGTTGAGTGAGAAGGAACAAAGATGGTGCTTACTAAAGGCCAGCAAAACAGCTCAGCGGACTAAGTGCCTGCTTAGGTGAGCTCAGAGACCACAGTCCGATCCCCAGCGCCACATGCAGCACTGCTCCGCCCCCCCTCCCGGGCACACTGAGGCGGCCCTGAGACCCAGTGCTGTAGCGGAGGCTGAAAACAGGAGGCTCACTATGAGAAGATGGCACTTACTGTCACCAGTGACTAAGCAGAAGACAAGCCGACTCAGTGAGTGGCTGGCAAGCATGGCCAAGCTAAAATCCAGCATGTGCAATTTTACCATAAGCAGTTAACAATGGCTGACGTCAGACACCCTTGCTCCTGACGCATCCTCTCTGACTCTCCTTTCGGTTTAAATGACTGCACCACGAGATGTTTCAGAACTCTTTTCTCCTCTTGCTTACAGATATGTAACATGTTGAATGCCCCTGCAGACGAGTACTTCACGTTCCAGGTAACTGCCCTCAGCCACACCTGGCCCTTCAGGCTGGAGTGGGAAGCAGATGTTGTCCCCTGTCCTCAGTCCCCAGAGACTGCCACATGGTCAGAAATGTCCAACAGGCAGACTCACGGCCCACGACCCACTCACCCTGGCAGTAGCCACCAAGTAGCAGATCCTTCAGTGAAGGACAGAGGAGCCGGAGAGCACGGGGAGGAGTCGGGGAGCCCCACCAGCACCGGTCAGGGTTCTCTCCCACTTCTGGTCCTTGAGTGGCAACCACAGAGCCTAAATTGATGTTCAATAAATGTTCATTGCATGACAGTTGGCTGGACACATCCTGTGGCCTGAATCCTGCCCTGTGACTAGCTTTCTCAACAACTTTCCCCTGCCTCTGATTAGCAACAGAAAACATTTGTTTTGGGTCCCTATACTTCCTGCTTCTCCCCTGACATTCAGAGACTCAGCTCCTGAAGAACACACTTCTGTTCACCACATGCAAGCCCCCAAACCAGCCACCATGTGTATGCTGGCCCGGCTGACCCCTGCCTCTCCATTGTCACAGCTGTTGGGGTTTGAATGTATCCCTAAAAGTTCATGTGTTGGAAACTGAATCCCCAAACTCATAGTTGATGGGTCTTCAGGAGGTCATTAGGGTTAGTGAAAGTCGTGAGAGTATTGTCCCTAAGATGGCATTAGTGACATTATAAGAAAAAGAGCCCCAAGCTCATCTCTTGCCTTTTTACAACTCCAGCACGATGCTTTTCACCATACTGTGTGGGCGCAAGAAGGCCCTGCCCAGGCGGTGGCGCGGGGACCCAGGGCTTCCCGGCCTCCATACCTCTGGGAACTGTGCATTTCTTTTCTTTCTAATTTACCCACTCTGTTCTATTATAGCACCAGGAAATGGACTAAGACAGTGGTTTTCTGCTTGGGCTTGGCTACAGCACTCAAGGCTCATTTTTCCCCTCTCCAACTTCACGTCCTTCACCAAAGGCCCCGGCTGTCACCTTTACTATGCCCTGCCCCACACGTCCTTCCCTCTCTCTTGCCACCCCTCCAGCCTCCACCTGTTCTCCCGCCGCCCTTCTCTCCCACTGTGGAAGACGAGCTGCCGTGGGCTCTGAGCACCTTCTTTCTGCCTCCTGGCACTGGTTGCTCTGCGTCTTGCACTTAACAAACATTTACTTAAAAAAGTCCTAATTCTAGTGAGGTATGGAGACTTCCCTGGAGAGCACCAGTGTTCCCCATCTTCCTTTTTCTCTTTGTGTCTGTCCCTCTGTCTCTGGTCCCCATGCCCAGCCCACAGCTCTGTCCATGCTTAGATGGAGAGGCTGGCCTCCTTGCCATCTCCAGGAGCAAATCACACTGGCTTGGTGACAGGGAAGGCTCCCCAGGTCTGCCTGCCAACCCTCCACCTACTGGCATGGAGAAGCACAAGCACCAAGCAGTTGCATCAGCTCCCACTCCTCCCTCCCTATAGCCGAAGCCTACTTGTGACCACAGTGTGTGCAGCTTCGAGCCTTCTGTCTAGAAACACCATTTTAGGGCAGAGTGCACAGCACGTGAGAGGGGAACCGCAGTTTTCTGAAGGGTCTCAAGCCTGCGGCTGCCACCCCACAGCCCACGCCCACAGCCCATGCTCACGTTGGTTCTGAGGCTGGCACCACCCAGGCTGCTCCTAGACCGGGCCTGAGCTTAGCGGGAATGATAATACAGACCCACCCCAGGATGCAGCCAGATTCCCTGCACAGGCAATCCAGGCCAGGGATCTCTGACAGCCCTGCACAGAGGGGCAAACAAATACTTGCTTCTCAGCAGAAGGCCCGGCGCGGTGGCATACACCTCTGTCCTCAGCACTGGAGAGGCTGAGGTAGGAAGATGACTTGAGTCACCACAAATTTAAGACCAGCTTGGGCTGGTCTCTCTTAGAATGAGACTCCACTTTGAAAATAAAAACAAAACAAACACATCAAGAAGCAGTCAGTGAAGCTTATTGTATCTGGAAAGCTTTAGGAAGTGCGCATGTGCACCTGAGACCATGAAGTCACTGTGCACAAATCCGCGGTACAGTTTCCATTCACGTTTTGTCCCTGATTCACACAGTGGCATAACTATGTCAATATTTCTCAGAGTTTTCCAAGCATGAAGATTTGGAGAACACTATGTATTGCATTTTATTTTCCAAACTTTTGACCACTAGGGCCTATAAGCTGAAGTTTGGTTTTCTCTGCTCTTCATTTCAATTACAAAGATTAATGTTAGATAATAAACAATTGACTTGCTTACATAATAAATAATTGTTTATTGCTAACTGTTATATCTTAGCACCATCCCATCCTTTATTTGAAATTTAGTAAATTAAGCAATATCCGCCTTTTGATAACTAAAAATATAGACTCAGCAATCAAAATCAACAATTTTAAAGCACTTAGAGTCTATCTAGATGCTAAATTATGTGATTCATAGGACATTCATAATGGCTGTACAGTCAATTTTTCTGACATGAAGAGGGATTGGTACAGGTAGCACTCAAATACTTACTTACACTAGACGTGGGTGGGGTGTAGTGGCCGTTCAAGGGTGTCCGTGGCAAAGGAGCGGTTCTGGGAGCCCGACGCCAGCAGTGGCTGCAGATCAGCACACGGACAAGCCTGAGTCGGACTGTGGACGACCGGCGCTCGCACACAGAAATAAGTGCATGTGACGCGGTGATGCTTACCTGAGCTCTGGAGACTGCACACCGTACCCAGCTTTGATTTCGCACCACAGTGCGTGATTTTGCCCGACATGCTGCCGCTGGCAGGAGATGGGCTCCTGGACTTCTCCGTATAATTTTTGCAACACCCTAGGAATCTGTAACTATTTCAAATTAAAAAGTAAAAAAAAAAAAAGATGAAATAAACATAGTGGTTTCCCGATTGTTCACAGAAAGGACCTGTAGATGAAACTGGCTGGGTCATTAAAAATGTCCTGTCCCTGCCTATCGTCAACAAGAAAGAGGATATCGTGGGAGTGGCTACATTTTACAACAGGAAGGATGGAAAACCCTTCGACGAGCACGATGAGCACATTACTGAGGTAAGCGCAAGAGTAAGATAATGGAGGGAGCGCAAGTCATGAAATAATGCGGGATGCGTAATTATTTATTATCCCACAATGGTATTTTGAAGGGCAATTAAGGTATGAGTCACACATGGTTACAACCAAAATGGTGGTGTTGTGTCATTTCTGTTTCCTGACTTCCTTAAACGGCAACATCTTTTAGTAGTTTGAAATGTAGCCAAACCTAATGGTCTCTGCTCCTAGAAAAGCAGGAAGGCATATTTCTGTCCTCCTTCCTGCCTCCTTCCTAGTCTGGCTCGCGCTGGTTCTCATCTCATTTACCTCCCTGCTAACTTTCAGGTCCAGTTTCGTTCTACCAACTTTTCTAATTTCCCCAGCAATAGAAAATTCATGGTGTGTGGCAGGGGCTTAGCAGAGTTTGCTGTCTTGGGTAATAAGCTCAGTGGCTTTTCTTATATCAAGATAAAGAACTGGGGTCTTTATTAAAATAAGGAACTGGGCTGACTGGTAGGAACCCACGAGGATGGTGCCCCCAAGTCAATTTCCCTCCGACTCTAGAGAAGCTAACCACCTTTCACACATTCCAGACTCTCACACAGTTTCTTGGATGGTCTCTTCTAAACACTGATACCTACGAGAAAATGAATAAGCTAGAGAACAGAAAAGACATTGCCGAGGAAATGCTCATGAGCCAGACCAAGGCAACCACTGACGAACTTAAGTCTATTCTGGTAAGTGGGGAGCACAGTTCTGTGGACACTGGGTGGTGTGAATGCTAACTTCTGGAAACCCCCTGCTTACCCTGGAATCTGACAAACAGGAGGTTTAGCCTGAGATAGGAAGGGAAGGCAGAGGGGCGAGGAGGAGCCTGACGCCCGGTGTACATGGATCCTTACTGGTGTCCAGACGGTTCGGCTGAAATGGCACTGGGTTAAAAACAGTTCCCGGGTCTATAAGAGCTGGTACAAGGCCATCTAAATTTAAATGCATTAGCAAAGGAACCAAATTCAGGAGGAGCAGTGTAGCAACCCATCAGCTCTTATAGCATGATGCTGCACAACAATAACCAAAACAGCTCAGTGGTATACTGTAATGAACATCTCTCTCTCACTCGTGATTTGGGAGTTGACTGAGTTTCTTCCACCTTGCCTGGGTGAGGCTCCAAGCTGTGAATCTGAATGTCTCTGTGGCTCTCTTTCGTGGACTGCTCAATCACTGCCTGCCGCTTTTCTCACATTGGTAACAGAAGTGCAGAAAAGGAGGTTGAACTGTGCGAGCGAATGGCTGATCTTTGCTCACCTCAGTCACTTAAATTATCCCTTAGCAAAGGAAGTCACATGATCAAGACCAATGTCATGGGTGGCGGGGCAGCTGGTGGGCTTCTGCCAAGTGTTCTAATCACCACAAAAGAAAGAGAAGGTGTCACACACCTATTATCCTTTGTTCTTATATTTTCCAGCTTTCAAAATGTGTGTAGTTTTCTGGAAGGTTTTTGTTTCGATTGGTTTTGGTTTTGCTGAGTGGGAAGAGTAGGAGGTAGGATACTTGATTTAAATCTTTGAGGGGTTAAAGAGGAGAAGGAGCAGGGGAATCATGGGAAACTGCTGTCAGCTGTCAGCAAAGCATATCTAAGCCATTCATTTTTCTTCTCTCTGTCTGACCTATATACATAAAATCCCCCCCCAATTTTTTTAATTTTTACTGTGGCTACTGTTACACTTTGGGAGACTAGAGAAGTCAGTAATATTAGATTATTTCTTGGATATAACTGTTCAGAATAAGGCCTTTGTATATAGAATGCGTATTTGTCAGGAAAATTTTTATAGCACATTTTAAGTGTATTTTAACTGATTTTAATGGCAGAAGAATCAGAACTCTCCATAGGCATTTCATACTTAAATGCTTCTACGTTTTAGAAATTTAAAGAGAAGTTAAATATAGATGTGATTGAAGACTGTGAAGAAAAACAGCTTGTCACAATTTTGGTGAGTGTTTCCCTTGTACCTCTGATGCATTTTCAATAAAATGTACCAGAACGTGCTTCCTCACTTTTCAAGTAGATGTTGAGCGTCCCTCATCCTGATACTTTCAGGAGCCAAAAGCACAAAAGCGCCTTGTGAAAGACTCATCCGCTGGCATCTGTTTGCTTCCTTCTGTGCTCCTGACAATGAAGTTTACAGACATACTTTATCATTTATCATTAGAGCTAAACTGAGTGCTGAAGAGGAACCTCGCGTGCAGAATCGGGGGTTGGCCCAGCACAGTACACGTCACAGCAGTAGGCCGTGCCACGGCTGCCCAGGGCCATGCCAGGGTGCCACCTGAGCACAGAGCACTGCCGGGTACCCTGACCACACAGCAGCCTGCTCCAGCTTCTCTGCTGTGGAGAGACTCGCTGCTCCCTGGCTGTGGTCACTAGGTCACTTCTATTATTTCTGATGGAAACGAGCTCTTCCAGCTCACTGGCCCCGTATTTTGGTGCACACAGTCTATACTAAAACATACAACACTTTTTAATCTCATAGGTATAGGTGGTCTCTTCCTGTTCTAGACTGTGTATTTGATTCTCTTTTTTAAATTTCAAGCTCTGGTGCTTAAACTTCTCATTTTATCTATTTTTCTTTCTATTTTAAAAGACATGTTGATCATAATTATTTTAAAGTACTCCTCTTAATACCTGAGTCATTTTTAGGCTGGGTTTTGTTTGTTTTTTACATGCGCGTTTCAGTCATTTGATCCTGCTTCACAATTTTTAAATTTATAAATGAAAACTTATGGGGGTTCTCAGTGCTATTGTTTTTCTACAAAGAGGATTAGCCTTTCCTCTGGCAGATAAGGAAGGCTGGTTTAAGACTTTGCTGGGGGACAGGAAGGGTTGGGACCCTTGTTTACAGAGTGGGGCCCTTCTGCAATCCTAGGGACTCCTGGGATATTTATCCAGATTTCAGAGACCTAGTTCCATGTGATTGAAACTAAAATAATATCGCATCTAATTTCCTGTTAGCCATTTAATCCTGTTTGCCACTGCCCCTGTGCAAGTCGCGATTCAAGGCTCTTTTCTGACTGAGGCCACAAATTACCTGCCCACGTACGGTCTTTGTGGGCTCTGCCTCCCACACTGGCCCTTTTCTCTCCTGACACTGACTGCTGACCCTTGACCCCTGTTGAGGGACCAGTCCCTCAGCCCCTCCATGGTTTTTTAAAATTTATTTATTTATTTATTTATTTATAAGATACAAGGTCTCACTACACAGCTCAGACCCACAGTGATCCTCCTGTCTCAGCCTCCCTAGTGCTGAGATTACATAGGCATGTGCTACCATGCCCAGTTTTGGTGGCCAGCACAGTGGGCCCAAGATTCTGGGCTGGTGTGGCATGTGGTACTGGGGAATCGAACCTGCCCCCTTGCACTTAGCAGGCAGGCTGAGATCACTGAGCTATCTCCTTAGCCCACGTCCATGTCTTCGTGCCGCCTGAGGTCCCTTCTTTTTCCTCCCTTTCTCTGGGCTCAGCCTCTGAGCGCCACCTCTCACCCCTTGCCTAGAAGAGGACTCTTCCTCCTCGTCTGTCCTCAGTCATGTGTCTTCTTGTGCAAGAAGGCTGATATGCGTATGGCACTTGGAGTCCCCAGCTCCCTTTGTAGGGGAGGAAGGACTTTAGGTGGCAGAAGTAGGGCACTGAGAAAAGTGCTGCCAACTTACCAAAAATAGCACATTTTGAATGTAAAATCTGTTCAAGTCAGCTAGTAGTCACTGGGAAACCTTGTTTCATGTGTTACTAACTTTACAAAAGTATGAATAAAATACCATTTTGTTGTGAGAAAAGAAATGAATGTAAAATATATTCTGAGCTAATCCTAAATCATTGCTGCATAAAATTTAGAAATTTAAACAAATATATCCTCTGTATTATGCATAAGTTCTCCAGAATTATGCTGGCGTCCTTTCCCCGGCGTACACTCTCTGTCCGTCTCTGCTCACCCTAAGCCTTTCCCCAGGGGTTCCCTTTAACCGTATGCTCAGGCGGACTGACTTTCGAGCGCTCCATGTGTCTGTGCTGGGACAGACCAGAAGAGCAGTGCTGCCTCAGGTGGAGGAGGTGACTGGCGCCTTCCTGCACCCTGGGGCCCCAGGCGCTCCTGAGGCCCCGCAGCTACCATTTCTCCTACCAGAGATGTGCAGAGGAGTTCTTAGTGAAGCACCTCATTCGTTCTTTACTCAACTTCTTCATTCATAAATTACTGAAACATACCATCTCACAAGGAACAGTGCTGGGTGCTGAGGGCAAAAGACACTATGACTTGGTTCAAGAAGCCCCTTGTGCATTAGGAAAAGAAAAATGTGAGCAGTGCCACTGTCCTGCTCAGACACATGAGGGCCCGGGAAGGCCAAAGCCTGGTGTCCGCCCAGGTGAGAGAGTCACAGAGGGGAGATGACAGACTAATGCTGGGGCTGCAGATTGGGGCACAGCAGAGACGAGACGTGTGACACGCGACGGCGTGCTGTACCAAGGAAAGCTGAGGGGCTAAAAGTGGTCGGAGTAGCAGTGAGAAGTGACACAACCTCCCGGGAGGCCTGGCATAGGTGCAGGACGAGACCGCGACCAGCCTGCGTCCCGGGATCTGGAAAATAACTTGCTCAGAGTTCATGCTGCCCCTCTGCGCGCCAGCGAGGCCAGCCAGGCAGCGGCGGGACTCCTGGAACAGTCACATCACTGTCATGAGGGCCGCAGGAGCTTCCTCCAGCCACCAGACCTCAGCTGTGTGATTCCGACAAGCAGCAAATCTTACACTGGGTTGGGGCGATAGCTCAGCAGTCTAAACGCCTGCCTGGCAAGCACAAGCACCCGGGCTCGATCTCCAGTACAGCGTGCTGTGTTGGCTCTGAGACCAGGCACACCCTGCCGACCACCCAGACCTCGCGTGCTGGCTCATGCCTGGAATCCAGCACGAGGGAGGCTGAGACAGCAGGATGCCTGAGTCGGAGCTGCATAGCAAGACCCTACACCAATAAGTAGTTAAGTGAATAAATAAAAAGCCACACCGAGTGACAGAGTGCGCACATATCAGACCAATAAAGTCTCTATCAGCCTCTCTGCGTCATAACGTGAAAAGCTGTGACTCTTCGAAACCTGTGGTTTCTGTGTCACAGTAATTTTCTATTGGCTTGCCAGTCACGTAAGTGGGGACTAGCCAGCATAACTCTTTTTATTTATTTATTTTTAATTTTCTAAGGGGCAGCATAATTCTGAGAAATTCATACTTCGATTCCTGATAAAGTGCACACTTCTGCTTTGGCACTACTTATCCTGCAGTGCGGCCCCCACCTTTATCTTTACACAGCCCTCAGGGATCAGCGGGTCCGAGAGAGCCTCCAGCCGGAGGCTCTGTGTGTGGCGCAGGACAGCCCAGCTCACGAGTCTCATGGCGTCTGCGCACTGTGCTCATGGACGTCTGTTTCTCCACAAGGGAGTGCATGTTTGAGGGACTGCTTTCCCCCTGACGTGGAGGACACACGCAGGAGTGCGTGCGAGGGCCCAGAGCCGAGACTTCAGGAAACCCTCTGGGAGCAGACAGGCTTGCGTTAAGCTGAGGTGGGAGCCTCTCTGAGGAAGGGGCAGGCGCATGAGGTGTCCACTCAGGACCAGAACTAGGGGACCAGAAGCCATGATTCTGTGCAAAGCACTCATGTACCACTGGAGGCTGCAACTTGCACAGAAGAACTGTGTCCTGGGAGGCCTACGCTTGCTAAGGGAAGTGGCTTTGGGCTGCGTCGCCCCTAAAGATCTGTCTGGCAGCCCCAGAAGGGTAGCTCTCTGCTGGCCTGCAGTGCTTCCCTTCCCTCCGTGAAAACCTCGCCCTCCTTCCTCCCACCAGCTCAGCTGAACACAGGCCCGTCTGGATTCGTAACAGCCCTCCTCGGCCACTCCGCGCCTCTCCTAGCACTAAGAACTCAGTGCTGCGCTCTCTGATGAGTCGAAGCCCCCACCTTTCAGTCTGCATTTTATAACTATTCAATAAATGAATCTTTCAACAGCAAAATCCATGCTTTTATCATGTCACGTGAACGCTCATGTGTGCTGGTCATTAGCTTCTCACAAGCTCCTAAGTCTGAACGAGTTGTGGCATAAGTGTCTACAAGTATTGCTGCGCATCGGGGGCATTCATTTACTCAGTGAACATCTACAGAGCACCTTTATGGGCGAGACAGGCAGGGTGGGCTATGAGGAGTGGCAGCAAGGGAAAGCGTCCCTGAGGCGGGCCCTTGGGGAGCGCATAGTCCAGTGAAGCGGATCCTGAGCAAGTGGAGAAAATGCAAGAGCAACCGCTCGCTGAGTATTTCTTGAGTAAGACAAGGGAGAAGTGGAGTATTAGCCGTGGGTGTGGTGCTATAACTAAACATTTTGTTTTGCATTATAGAAAGAAGATAGCTACTGCAATGGGACTTAGAATTGAATTCCATCTTTGGGGCCGGGGAGATGGCTCAGTGGAATAAATGCTTCCCTGGCAAGCACAAGGGCCTGAGTTCAATCCCCAGTTCTTAAAAAAAAAAAAAAAAAAAAAAAGAATTGAATTCCATCTTTGAGAAAGCTTTTTTAATATGCTGAATCTTAACTTTAGCACCTATAAAATGGGGATAATTTTGTATGTTTGTTTTGGGGCTAATCTACGCAAACTTTGTAAGTCCATATCTGGCTATATTGTTTCAGCAACTTGCCTGTGGTAGTCTTTTATCATATTTTGTACTTCACTGTGGGGTAGGGGAGCATAAAGGGGAAGCGATGAGCAAAGTCTGAAACAGTCTGTCTTCCCAATAGAAGGAGGACTTGCCAGATCCAGAGGCAGTAGGCCTATATGAATTCCGCTTCAGCGACTTTCCCATCACCGAGCACGAATTGATCAAATGTGGCCTGCGACTGTTTTTTGAAATAAATGTGGTGGAGAAATTCAAAGTACCTGTAGAGGTCAGATGATATTTCATTTAAAATACTATTTGATTCTATTGCTGTACCTCACTGATATTTTCTGTGGTTCAAAAGATTAACTCAGTTTGGATTTTAAATTAACTTTGTAAATACATCAGTTTAAACTCTGTCAACAAGGCCAACACATCCCTTTAGATAAGATTGTCACTGGCTTCTAACCTTTCGAGCTCTATTCCAAAGTCTGAATGTTGTTGTCTTTTGGGCAACAGGTTCTTACCAGATGGATGTATACAGTGAGGAAAGGGTACCGCCCTGTCACTTACCACAACTGGCGGCACGGGTTCAACGTGGGGCAGACCATGTTTACCTTGCTGACGGTAAGTGCGGCGTGCTGGAATCTCCCGAGTCCTGTCTGCTTCCCAGCTGAGCGTGGTGACAAATGGATATGGCCCATCACCTCAGATCTGTCATTTTGAGATTTATGAGCTTCACCTGCACCCCCAAAGGTGATGCCAAGAACGTGGGTGTCCCTAGGCACATGGGTCATCCCTCAGACATTCATCTGTGTACCTCTTAAAAATTCCATCTAGTTTGGACAACTGTACCCTGGACTTCTGCTGGTCCTTTCGGACCAGCTGGTGCTTCATTTGTTTTGTCTCATTTTTTCAATTCTTTGACCTTTTTGTCTTCTTTATTTTTTGATATATTTCTTTCTTTCTTCTTTCAATTTTACTAGCATGTATCTGGTAATATGAACAACTAATTTGAAGACAATAGAACAAATACTTCGAAATTCATATTATTTTTCTTCAGTGAAATTCTGTACCATTTGTAATTTTTCTGTTTTAATACTATTTTGTACTCCTTAAAAAATAAAATTTTTTAAAAACTACATCACCTGCTAGGTTTTGGAATTGCAAAAAATGCTACAAAATTCACACCCAAAAAAGCCCACTTACTGTAAAAACATGACAGGCCCGCTCTTCTGCCCCAGGCAGGCCTTGCTGCGCTCAGAGCAGGTGTTTAGTACTCCATGGAAATATGTGTCGCTCTGTATTTTCAGACCGGAAGACTAAAGAAGTACTACACGGACCTTGAAGCCTTTGCCATGGTGGCTGCTGCTTTCTGCCACGACATTGACCACAGAGGCACCAACAATTTGTACCAAATGAAGTAAGTGAACAGGAGAGCAGTGGGGACGCGCGCCGGTCCGGGCTGAGCACGCCACGGGAGGAGCACTCTGCAGGCTCTCGGCCGCGCTTGGGGCGTTCAGGGCCACGCTCTGTGCGTCCCCGTCCCCGCAGCGCGCCTCGGCCCTCGCCTTCTCCCAGGTGCCGGCGTCTCGCGTCCCTCTCGGCCCCTCGTCTGCGTGGACCGGGCCTCCTGCGTGCGTACTGGCTCCACGTTTCCTCCTGGCACCGTCGCTTGCTCAGGGTTCTGAGCTCCGGCTCGCGCGCTAATCCTGGGCTTCCGCCCAGCGGGCGCCTAATCCGAGCGCCTCCCCGATTCCCCGCCCTGCCCTGGTCCCCCGGCTCTGCCAAGCCTTCATTTGCTGGCTCTCCATCCCGATATGAGTGCTTCCGCCCTTTCTTGCCCCAAGAAAAGAAGTTGAGGAATACGCGTGTCAGGTCACGGTCGGAGCCATCTGGGCTCGCGAGTTACTTAAAGCCTTGAAGGCTCACTTTCTTTACATGAAATACAGCAACTACAATCTTAAAGGCCTGTTGTAAAGATTAAACTACATAATGTAATTATGTGTAAAGTCCTTGAAATAGACTCTTAGCTGTCACTCCTGTTAGGTATTACTATGCCTGTCATGATGTCGCCGGTGTTCCTCAGAACTCACCAGCCAGGCTCAGGGCCGCCCAGCGCACCGAGCGCGGCCTCCAGCTCCCTTCCTCCTCGCCAGGGCGGTGAGGCTATTTTGAAGATAAAAGGCTTTTTAGAATATGGGTTTTGTGGAACCCAGCTACTTCCTTAATCTCTATTTATTTATTTGCCATGACTGGGTGTAATATTGACCCCTCAAGGATTATGATGACAAATTAAATTAGAGATATAATATCCACATAGTAATTGCTCAAGAAAAATGTACTCAATGAATTAAAAGCACTCAGTACACAGTGACTTCTTGCCTTGGACAATTACCTGTCAGGCTTTATCTAGAAACAGTATCTCCCCGAGGCGTGGGCGAGGGATGCCTTCATCTCTAGAGCGGCCAGAGAAAGTGCTCAGGGCGCACCTGCTGTGCGCTGGAGACTACGCTAATGGCAGTTCACTGGAACTTCCCAGCAGTGTCACATGGAGGTACTACTGTCCCTCTCCATCCCACTGGAGAGACTTGGCTTCACTGACAAGAAGAGGCGGATCAGGTGCGACGTCTCACCCCAAGGGTGGCACGAAGGATCTGCTCCTGCGCTGAATTTCTGGGATCTTGATTATTATATGTCTGTGTTTTTAATTGGATTGATGTTATTTGGAGTTCTATGCGCTCCAGTTACCTGAATGTCAGACTGTTTCCTCATATTTGGGAAGTTTTCTGCTACTACTTCTGCCCATATTCTTTTTATATCATTTGTATTAACTCCTTCTTTCACATTGATGCCTATTAGTCTTAAAGTTTCTCACACTAGGAGAAAATATCATACCATGTCTTATAAGTAGATTATAAGTAAAGAAACAATATAAATCATAAAACAAAAATTAAAGTTAAACAGTATTCAGAAAATTAAATATTAATTCAAAATTAAATTAAATATTTCAAATAATATTCAAAAATTAAAATTAAATTGTGAGTCCAACTAAGAGGCCAGAATGTAGTATATCATATGTACGAACCTATGATCAATTCAGAGTACTCACATAGTATTTGATTGGGTTTACACAAAAATATCAACTAAGATAAAGTTTTCATGGTAGTAAAGAATTACTAAGAATAAAACATAACAAAAATACTGAATGGCAAATATAAGACCAGCACTTCTAACAGTGTGGGGACAGGATATCACACAAAGTTTTAGTATGTGGTGGACGTGGACTATGTCCATGACGCTTACTGGTGGCCAGGTGTCACTTGTGGGTGTCACTTGTTCATCTTTGCATTGTCTTGCAAATTTTGAATTATTTTTTCCTGCATCCCAGCTATTTTTAAGAGATCTGTTCTTACTTTTTTACTAGCTGCAACAGTGTCTTCAAGGTCTGAACGTCTATTTTCACTTTTATTCAAATGGTTTTGCCAGCTTGTGATTGAGGTTTTAATTTCCTATATATCACTTGAATCTTCTTCATGATTCTATTTCTTTCCTATATTTCTCATTCAAGGATTCCATCATTTTTCTATTCTCCTCTATTTTTTTTAATCAGTGTTTTCTTTAGAAATACTTAGTGCTTCTTTCATTATAGTTATCATTTTTTTAAACTTCAGAAATTATTTCTGATCTGATTTCCTCTATACCTTTCTGCAGTTGTTTCTTTACTTCCAACACTATTATTTCAGAGTTTTCAGGTGTGTGCTTTCCAATTTTTTCTATGCTATTGTCTCCTGTATTTGTTGCGGGAGGGCTCGGGGACTGAGAATGCATTTTTGCTCCTCTTTGTCATTTTGTATAACACTATCTTCTATCTTTGGTGTAGAGCTTTGGTAGAGTTATTACCTTGGCACCAGGTCTGGATCTACCAAGTTCCAATCTACCAAGTTCCAACTCCTCCAGGCGGGTGTGGCTGGCGTCTGGCTGCTGTGCTCCACTTCTTCCTGCTGCAGCCCTTGGAGGTGAACCCGCTGTGCCCCTCTGGCAAGATGTTCGTCTCCTGGGTCAGCTGGGTGGGTCTTGCCTCCAGCCTCTCTGCGGGGAGCTCTGCTGCAGGGCTCCACACTGGGCCTGTCTGATGGAGGAAGGTCCACAAACACGCAAGGCCTGGGCACATTATTTTTTGATAATGTTGTTAATGATCATTGTGCCTTTTTCCCCCTCTAGATAACACTGAAATCTTTAATAACTTCTTGCAAATTTATTTTTTCTAGGAAAACCTTACCAAACTCGCTCTTTTCTCCCTATACACAAACATAAATGTGTGTGTGTGTGTGCATGTGCATGTAAGTATAAGTGTTCTTATTCAACTATGTGTGAAACAGAGGAAGTGTCATGATATGCCACACGAACAGTTGAATAACTACTTCAGGAAATTTCACAGCGGACACAATCCTATTCTCTAACATACACTGCTTTCTTAAACTTTTCCCATTATCCCAATAATGACTTTTAGATCTGTTTTCCCCTGTGGTTCAGCATTTAATCAAGGACCACACATTGGTTTTTGGGGGGTACCAGGAATTGAACTCAGGATCTTACTCTTGCCAGGCAGGCACTGTGCCACTGAGCTATACTTCTAGGCCCACCTACTGGATTTTGCTGTTGAGTATCTTTCGTCTCCTTTAATCTGGAGTAGTTCCTCAGGCTTTTTGTATCATTCGGAGCATTGATGTTTTTGAAGATTCTGGCCCAATTGTTCTGCAGAGTGCCCTCTATTTGGATTTATCCAGTTGTTTCTTGGTTACTAAATTCAGGGTAGATGTCTTTGGCAGAAATTCTCTGCAGATGACCCGTCCTTCTCGGTACACCCCGCAGGAAGCTGCGGGATCATTTCACCCAATAGTTATGAAGTTCCATTAAACTGTTGCGGCCGATGCCATGAAATCTCTTTATGTAAAGGAATACTTTCTCCTTTGTGAGGATTAAGTACTATGTTAAGCATTATTCTGAGAATATCTAGCTTCCCAATTATGTATTTGACTTATGAGTTTAAACTAAAAGGAACGAAGTATTTCTCTCCCTTCTAAATGGAATTTGAACTTGATTCATTTTTTAAAAAATATTCAATGTTGGCACAGGATATTTGAAGATCTGTTAAAGTGATGATCAAGTATTGTTTTAAACCTAAAAGAATTAAATATTACATTCTCTTTTAACTGGAATTACACTTGATTCATTTTTGAAGACCTCCAATGGTGACACACAGTAGGTGTGTTATTTATGATCACATAATTATTGATGATCATTATTGATAATTATTGATTCATTCATCAGACATGGTCTGAGTCTTTCTCACCTGGATGTTTGGTTTTCCACACATTGCAAGTTCTATCCTTTATTAAGTAAAATGAAACTTTGCTAAAGCTGTCATCTATAGTTTCTGTTTTTCAGTTTTTCCTTCCTAAAAATTATTTATTCCCTATTTCCATGACTTCTTTCCATGTGTAGACCTCTGGCCTTACCCTTTCTCTATTTTTTATTTTATCTTCTTTTTTGCTTTCAGGATAGCTTCCCCTTCCTGAGCTAGGCGGCTCTGAAGAAAATCAGGGGGCCACTGGAGGAGGGCCCCACTCACAGAAAGCTATGATTTAACCCTTAACATGTGGGAAAGTTTACACTGACCTCACTATCCTGGGGGAGAAATGAAACCTTACTTTACGGTGATTTTCTTCTCAGTTCCTGGGAATTCTTAACAGACACTTTCTATGCAGATACTCTGGGTTTCCATAGGGCTGCTACACCTCCACCCCACCACCATAAAATCACCTCAGGAAACTTAGGATGAATCAAACTTCCTAGTGTAAACAATCATTCATGCATTCAATACACAGTATTTTTATCTTAGAAATAATATATTCTCATCTTTAAATCTAAAAAATATTTCAATATATAACTCTTGACCATTTCAAAGACCTTGATGTGGAGGAGAAGGGACATGAAGGAAGAACCCTGAGGTAGCACAGATTCTGCGCTGTGCAGACTCTGCCACCGCGGGAGCCATAGCACTTCCTTTTCCTCCTAGATCCACATCTCCACTCGCCAAGCTCCACGGGACTTCTATTTTGGAGAGGCACCACCTGGAGTACAGCAAGACCCTCCTGCAGGACGCGGTATGTGACCCTTCCTCTGGGGCGCCTTGTGGATTCTAGAGGAGAGCACTAACCCAGAGGAAACGCTTAGAAAGGGGGCAGCCTTGGGCTACAGCACCACCACGTATACTGTCTAAATTCATTAATAGGAGTTACCGCATTATAGTATTTTTGAACTGCAAAGCTAGAAGTAGCTTGAAAAAAGGGGGCCACAGAAAGTCATAGAACCTCTGTGAGTCCGTGGAGAAAAGGTTAAAAAACATAGAGTGCAGGTGAACAAATGTGACAGGGAAAAAAGGCCACGTGACCACTGACCCTCTTCAGAGTGCACTGAAGAGGACAGGGTGCACCTGAAAGGCAGGCTTTGGCAGCAGAGCCGCAGATGGGTCAGGGCGTACGACAGAAGCAGGGCCCTGCCTCGGAGAGACACTGAGTCACACTCTGGAGTCCCAAATGGAGAGACAGAAAGGTCAGAGACGGCTTTAGACAGAAGGTGGCTTTAAATCTGTGGAATTCATTATGGTTGAAAGAATTGTCATTCTTCCTTTTCAGTTTTGTTTAGGGAATATATGCCAGCATGTGTTTTTTTTTTTTGTATTTTTAGGGAAGGCCTACGGGGTGTTCAGGGCCTCACTGCTAGACTGCACGCGTAGTGATCCGCCTGTTTACAGCCTCCCAAGAGCGGAGACCGCAGGTGCGCACCACCACGCCCAGTCTCGGTTGCTGTCTCAGCGCGCCCCAGGGGCGGGACTGGCACAGCAGGCTAGCAGCTTGTGTTTAAATCGTGGATCTAATCTAGTTACATTTTCTTTAGAAAATTCCAAGCCAGGATTGAGGGGAATATCATTTGTCACAGGCAGAGAACTTGTTTACAGTTACAAGCTAATTAGGATAAATGCATCATTGGGAGGGTCGTGAGCTTTCCTCTCTTCCAGTCATAATCTTCCGTTAAAGTCCCAGAGAGGGCACATACAGAAATGTGTCCAACAACATGCACAGCATTCAGTCATTCTAATTAATAAAAGCCAAGATGGCCCACACAGCCCAGTGGGAACATCTTGTAAGGCAGAGTAACTGCGAAGAAAATTACAAGGAAGAAAATGACTTGCGCAGCTCCAACAACACACGGTGGACGAGCCGGCACCAAGTTCATGCCAACTCCGCGGCCCAATTTCTCAAGCTGCAGTGCTCTCCGCAAAACATCAACCTGTTTTCTGTTACTGTAACAAAATATCTAAGGCTGGATAATTTTTAAAGAATAGAGGTTTAGGGCCGGCCTGATAGCTCCTGCTTTGGCAGAGCGCAGTGGCCGGGTTGGATCCCCAGCGAGCCGTGCCTGCCCTGCCCCTGGGGCACGCTGAGACAGTGATTGAGACTAGGCATGGTACACACCTGTAATCCCAGCTCTGGGAGGCTGAAAACAGGAGAATCATTACGTGTCCAATCTACCTAGTGAGACCCTGTAGACACTGTCCTAAATATAGAAGAAGAAGAAGAGGAGGAGAAAAAATAAAAATAAAAAGAACAGAGGTTATTTAGAGCTCTGGGCCTGGAGGCCAGGAAGCCCAGGACCCAGCCCTGACATCTGCTCAGCCTCTGATGGGGCCTGACAGTGGACAGCAGGGGTGTGTGTCCAGGAGACATGAAACACTAGAGTGGAAAAAGCAGGCTGATTGTGAAAATGAACCCACTCCCAGATAGGCATTAATCCCTCTTAATGATCGACCTAATCCCTTCTTGAAGACGTAACCACCACTCGGAATCCTCACTTTGAGCATCAGTTTTCAACATGAATTTCGGAGTGAACAGGTGACATTCAAGCCATAGCACCATGTGACGTGAGGACACCAGTCCTCAGCCGTGGGCACCTGGACCAACCTCTTCAGACTTGCCCATGGATGAAGGAGAAGAGGGCGCTGAACACTACAGGCTCCGGGCTTCAGCTCCCGTTTACTGAGAAGGTGCCTTACAGTTGGGGCGTGGAGATGTGCCCTTGCAGGAGGCCTGCATCCTGATGCGCAGCTCAGATCTGCCCATCAGCAGACGTCAGGGCATGACAGTGTCTGTTTGCAGACAATCTAAGGAGTAGAAGTGAAAGTAATTCAGGAAGGAAAGAAAAATGCTGTTGCGGCCAACTTGTTTGTAGAACAATCTTCGATTTCTAAGAAAGGATTTTTTATATGCTACTGTTTCTGTAATGCTTGAGTAAGGCATCGTCAAATATAATCCACCATTTAATTATGTACACAATTATGGCAACAAAATACAATTAAAAACTGCAGCAAAATAACTAAAAGTTTAACATGGGAAGGCTCCTACTATCTATGTTTTCCTGTCTGGACTTTTTTTTGGGGGGTGGGGTATGTATTTGGAACAGGGTCTCACGATGCATCTCGGACTCGTAGGGATCCTCCTGCTTTTGGCCCCCCAGGGCTGGGATTACAGGTGTGCGCCACCACGCCCAGTCTCTGTGGCCCGTGCAGCACACCCAGGAGCAGGGCCAGTGCAGCCTGTGGTGCCGGGGATTGAACCTTGGTCCATGCGCTTGCCTAAGCAGGCACTTAGTCCACTGAGCTGTCTTGCCAGCCCTTCCCTTCTGGACTTTGACAGTTTACAACAGAGTGTATGTTTTCCATATTAATTTTTTTATGTTATTTACATTGCAGTCTAAATTGGCATTGATGGATATACAAAGACTGTTATTCTTTCTTAAAAAAAAAAAAAACTGCTTCATAATCCATATGATCTTTTTAAGGACTTCTCTATAATAGTGTTCGCCTGCTAATTGCAGACATTTAAAGCCTGGTCAATAGAGTTGCTAAGCAGTGCATCACAGTTTGCATTTGGGCAAACCGAACATTACGAAAGACATTTTTAGCCATCAGATACGGTTTTTACATTTAGAGATGACAATGTAGCTCCTTTATTCCATAAAGAATATGTACTCACTAAAATTTTTTAAATATGGGATTAGCCAGTAATTCTGTACTGTTAATTAAAAATTAATCCTGTAACGTTAAGCCTGTAATCCCAAAGCTGGGGAGGCTGAAAGCAGGATTACTAAGAGTCTGAGCTGCATAGTGAGACCCTGTACCAAATACATACCAAAAAAAAAAAAAAAAAAAGTCCATTAGGGAAAACATTTAGATATAGGAGCCTTCCCATGTTAAACTTTTACTTTGCTGCAGTTTTTTATTGTTTTTGTTGCCATAATTATGTACATTACTACTGAAATCCTTGGAATTTATCCAGCAATTCTAGCATTTGTGGACATTATTAAGACTTTTTGATTTTCATATTACAAAGCGAAATAAATTGCTCAGCATAAACACGAAAGCTGCTGTGGTCCAGGACACCTGTTTAACAGATCGGTCGTTACATTTGTGCTTTTTCTTTCACGCCCTCTCAGCCTGTCTCACATCATTCTAAGAAGCAGGAAAGAAAAATTAAACGCTTTGTGCGCAGCCAGGAGCGCAGCGAACGCGCCCGTCCTCCGGGCGCGGCGCGCACTGCCCTGAAGAGCCGACCTGCCCGCAGGGGCCTCCGCGTGCCTGCGGCCCCAGGCAGAGGGAATTGAAACCATTTCCATCTGTTCTGGTGCGACACAAAGAATTCACATCTTAAGGCCACCGCAAGAGAAAAGAGCAAAAGTATCCTCGCTGCCTTCAGCCCTCGGGAGCAGGGAGCGCGCAGGGCTGCGTGGAGAGAGGACCTGCGCGGCCTCGCCCAGCGCGCAGTGCGTGTCCACGACAGTGCTGGGAGCGAGCCACGGCGGAACTCCGCCTACTAACAGATTGCTAAGATCGACGAGTTAAGATTGCTGTAAGAATTACATTTACCCACTAAAAAATTCAAGTAATAAGGAAATGTCAATGACAAATGTAGGAAGTAGGCTTCAACTCCACCCGCCCAGCGACAGCGTTTCGCTGGCACGCGGAGGGCTCCACCGCGCTCACCCTGAACAGCCGCAGACAACTCAGACAACATAAAAGGTTTTTGAAAAACGGGGTCAAAGGGCCGGCGGCGAGGTAGCTCAGTGGTTGGGGGTGCGATCCCCGGCACCGCGGGCCGCCCCGACCCCGCCTCTGGGCGCGCTGAGCTGGCCCCCGAGACGGAGCAGTGAGACCCTGCACCGAGCACGGACAAAAACGAAAAAAGAAAAATGAGATCAAAGTAGAAGCCATCTCTGGCGAGAGCTGTGTTTTTCAATCAACATTACAAAGTCATATATGCGGATTGCATCTATTTATTCCTGTGCTTGTCTTCTATTCGGGGGCTTAAGGCAGGGTCCTGCCGCGTAGTTCAGGCTGACTCGCGCTCACTACGTACCCCAGGCCGGCCTTGAACTTGCGGCCGCTCCAGTGCGTCACCACACCCAGCCGCGTCCTTTAGAGTGCACAATTCGGGAATTTTTATGCGATGTTTCCATTTTCTTCACCTGGGAAAGCACCACTACCTCCAATATACCAAACAGTTCTATCGCCCCGATAGCTCATTTCACGTTTTGTGGTCTTTATACAAATGGTCACATGCTTCTTCCTTTCTGGGAATTCCTTATCCTTGAATGGAGCCAGACAAGGGCCCGAATCCCGCGGGGCAAAGGCAGGAAGGAGCTGGGAAAATCCTTGGCTGACACTTCTCGTCCTAAATAACCTTTCGCCAAAGCTATTTGTTTTGTCTGGAAAACACACGTCTGGGATGTTGCTTTTTCAGAAACAGGCGAGGTGCGCGCGTGCAAAGCCTGCGCGTGCAAAGCCCGCGCTCCTCGCCTCGCTGCGCCGGGCCGGCTGTCGCTGCCCGCTTCCTGTGTGGCTCTCTTCGGCCAGCCGAGAAGACCAGAAGTGGGAGTCCGTGCCCACCCCTTGGCACAGCTTTCCCCTCATCTGCGGCTGTTGCTGGTGGCGTCTCGCACTCCAGAGGGGACGACATTCCCTTGGTTGTGTGTGACGCATGTCCTGAGATCCCTTGTTCTAATTAAACCAACGGCGTTTTTCTTATTTTAAACCAATAACAAAAAAAAAAAAAAAAAAAAAAAGCTTTATGTGTTTGTTTAGTCCCAAATTTGTTCCAAAAGAATTTAATGGATTCTCTCAAAATACAATAAGAAAGAAAAATAAAATGAAAGCTCATGGAGAAACAAGGAAAATGAGGTAAGGCTTGGTAACGCCTATATACGTCCAAATCTATGCAATGACACAAACATTAGAACAAATATTAGACACTGGCCTCAACTTGGCCCAGGACATTCTAGCAACAAATCCAAAAACTGAAAAAGATCTTTCATATGCATTCATATCCACAAACTTAAAAGCAATCAGCCTTTTTGCTTTCTTTCTTTCGTGGTGCTGGGGATCAAACGTGGGACCTCGGGCTGGCCAGGCAAGTGCCTGTTCCACTGAGCTATATTCCAGCCCACAATTAGCTTGTAAGAAGCTCAGGTTTTGAAAAAAATAAAATGTACTGCCGTGCCAGCCTTGCCTCTGGGGCGCACTGAGACGCGACTGAGACCGGGTGTGGTGGCGCACCCGTAATCCCAGCACTTGGGAGGCAAGAAACAGGCGGATCACTGCGAGCCTGATCTGCACGGTGAGACCCTGTACACCCTGTGCTAAGCACAGAAAAAGAAAAAAGAAAAAGAAAATGCGAAAATGTAAAATTGAGAAAAGGTTTTTCAATTTGGAAACTTGTTCATGTTTTTACATGAAAATGAAAATGAGTGAGAAGAAAAAAGATATAAATGAAATTCAGGTGCCTTCTGTTACATATAAAGGAAACAGCGCAGAAAAGTTGAATACAGACTATTTTTGCTTGATGTAAATTAGCTAGTTTATTGTTTTGGATTGGAAAAAGCCATGACTTAACGGAGTACAGTGATGTTGTATTATTTTTCTGTCTCTCCAGACAGCTTTTTGTTGTCCACACATGCATATTTATCAAACAGTAACAGGTGTCCATGTTTACAGATACAAGCGACATGCACTAGAACAGCCGCTGCATAATAAATATTGATTGGTTTGTGCAGCAGCTGTAGACTATGTACTCTGCACAAATGGCACTTGGTAGCGGCAGTGATGTTTCTGTCCTAAGGGACTGTTTCCTTGTGTTCATCGCCTGTGTGGCTTTTAAAAATGATTTCATGTGCTGTAATTACTGATTCACCTAAAAATTTGAGACACTTACATGCACTCCCAGCTGCCTGCACTCTAATTTTTGTTCTTAGTACAGAAATCAAGACTGACTTTAAATATCACTGAAAGGCCTAGGATTCGCTTAGGAACCAGCTGGCAGGGGCTGAGCTCACCCCCACAACCAAAGAAAAGAAAAAGTGACAAATCTGTAAATTATGTGGCTGAATAATCCTGTGATACAGATTATTTGGGAGCATGACAGTGTACATCAGTGAGCACATAAGGCCAACGACTCAATTATGCAAATGGTGGCCACCAGGGACCATCAGTCCAAATGCAAGGTCACTGTCCACCTGAAGAGAGGGCCATCACTTCTTTGCCTAAAGTCAAGTATGAAACCCAGGCAGGTAAAAGGATTCAGTGTCTGTGCCCCTCTTCCTTTTGCTTCCCTGCCAAATTTAGACCAGGGTGAACATAACTTGATCCAAAAGGTTCATTTCAAAAATTTTCCTGGATTGATATGCTCCACGAGATTGCTGTAACTCTCCGAAGTAAGAAATTGGTTTAATCCAGATAATTTATCTTTCTCAATTGTTGTAATTTGGAGGGTCGCTTAGCCAAGGCTTTAATCAATCTTAAAGCTAACTGTAGTTGCTATCATTAACATATTGTATTAACAAAACAAATCACAGCTTTCCTTTCTTTTATTGATATATGCCTCATAAAATACCATTTTTTCTGCCTTACAAGGTGTTGTAAAAAGATGTGAGATTTGTATTTTGCATAATACAGTGTAAACAAGTTCTTGTCTAGTTTTTGCTTTCTTTTTTAATTTTTTATCTTTGTTTGGCACAGGGTCTCGCTACACAGCTGGGACTTGTAAGGATTCTCCTGTCTCAGCCTTCCCAGTGGCACAACACGCCCTGGGGTTGGGGCTAGCAAGCCTGTGGCACCAGGGATTGAATTTGGGTCCTTGTGTTTGCCAGGCAGGCACGTAGACCACCGAGCTATCTCCCCAACCCCCTCCCCGTACTTTTATGTTTAGGCAGGTTAACAACTATCTCCTCTTTCTAGCTGCTGTTCCTGTTCAGTGGAATTCTGCTTTGTTCTGGTACTACCAACTTCATTTCATCTGTTCTTTGGTCTATATGATTAAAATGGCCTAACTGGAATATCAGGGCTTTTAACAGCCACTCCCTGTTTTATACTCTGGTATAAAATGAAGCTGATACATATGGGAAGGAACTATTCATTATTAATAAACCCTTTGAAGAAAGGTCGTTAAGCCTTTGTAAGATATTGCAGGAATATGTTAAAAAGCCATATGAAAAAGCTTATTTTTTCTACATATTCATGAATATTAGTCATTTGCATTTCTGAAAGACTAATGTTTTCTATGATAACTCTAAAATTATATAGTAGATAATTCAACATGTCTGATATTTGGACAACTTCCAGAAATTCTTTTTATTTCAAAAACATCCTGTTTACTCTTAGACACCAGTTACCTTAGTATTTGCTGTCTACCTTTATAGTTTAAATTACTTTCCTCTAAATAGAAGGGTTTATTCAATCTATAGCACAAAACCCGAAAACTAGTGTTGCAAAGCCTAGAGCAGAGTCTGACTGGTTTTTTAAATCAAATGTAAATGATTACTTTATTGTGGATTTATTTTCACTTTACAGAGTTTAAATATCTTCCAGAACCTAAATAAGCGGCAGTTTGAAACAGTCATTCATCTGTTTGAGGTTGCCATCATAGCAACTGACCTGGCTTTGTATTTCAAGTAAGTAATAGCTGTGGAACAGGAGAGCCTCACCCCTGCGTGCCACTGCTCCTGGGAGCCACCTGCCGCACTATTGTCAAGAGGGAGTTTCACACACACACACACACACACACACACAGTTTTCCTTTTAGAGTATCAATGAGAATATCCCCAAGGTGACAATGAACTTATAGTCATCAAAAAACATATCTAAAAATTTAAGCCCCTCTTATTGCATAACTTTTTAAATTAAAAAATATATATATTTATTTATTTGGTACAGGGTCTCACTATGCAGCTCGGACTTGTAGTGATCCTCCTGTCTCAGCCTCCCCAGCGCTGGGATCACAGGTGTGTGCCGCCACGCCGTTTCAATGGCAGGCTCTGCACAGACCTGGTACAGACGGGGTCCTTGCGCTTGCCAGGCAGGTGCCTGGATCACTGAGCTATCTCCCTGGCCCTGCGCAGCCCCTTATCAGAAGGAATTTGAATTAAGAAATTCATTTGTGCTTTGTCAGAAGAGTCATGCCAAGAACCAGAGATGGTGGCTTTTTCCCTGGTTAGCACACGCTGGTCCAAAACGTAGTATGTGATGCTTCCAGCTCAGAAACTTGGACCTGCCAGTGCCTGGAAACTGGATGATCTTGGTGGGAACGATACACATGCGTTAAGTTCACAGAGCCAAGTTCTGTGCCTGCCTCGTTATGATAGCGTACCAAGGAGGCCACATATTCCGGGTGTTCACACGTTCTTGGAAGTGAAATATAAAGTTACTTGGTGAATAACACTTAGAACAAGGTGAGATAATTAATAGGATCCAAATAATCAATGACTCGAGCACTGCCCAATTATGCTTTTTTGATCCTTTTTAATTACAAAACAGCCATTAAGTAGTTCAGATATGAAGGCAAGTATCCATAGCCCAGGTTTCTACACGCTCAATTTTGCTGCATTTGCCTCTGATCTTATTTCTTTAAGGCAGAAAAACAGTGAGTGACGAGCCTAAGACACCATTGCTATTCTGCCATGGGCGTTCTTCCCTTCTCCCAAAGATCGCATCTGTTCATTGTGCCTCTATTCCACTCATGCTTTCATATGGCACTGCTAAGTGCTTTAAGTTTTTTCATGTATCATACTGTCTGCACAAGCCTTCCTGGAGTTTGCGCTCCAAGCAACACTACGCCTGAGAGGTTTGCCCTTGTCAGTAAGTGGGAGGCCGCTTCGTGCATTTCAGCTTCCCTCAGAAGCTGAGGCATACGCTACTCAGCTGTGAATACATTAAAATGAAGCTGCACGTTCCTCTAGGCATGGATGCTCACAGAGTCTTCCAGTTCTCACCCGTGCTACACTATATACGCCTGTGCATACAAGTTCCTCTTAGTACACAAGCGCGGGCAAGAGTGCTGCATGCCTGCATGTTCAACCCTGCTCTCCCGCGTCTGTGCCGCGTTGCCTTACACCAGGAGTAAAGTTCTTGCAATCCCACACCGGCCCACCTGCACAAGTAGAGCTTACCTTGCTAACCTACTATGAGATGGGACCCTGTTCTTCAAATGTGTATTTTCTTATCAGTGAACTTAAGCCTCCATGTATGTTGGGTTCTACATTTTGGTTATACGTGCCGTGATTTATTGGTCTGTGGCCTTTCTGCTCCTGTTATGGCTCCTTTCTACCCTGTACAGTTTAGTTTTACTGTGCTAAAACTCCTGTGCGCTCCACCGCGCTCCACGCTTTTCCTGCCCAAGCCTTTTCCCTCCGGCTGGTCCCTCAGCACCCAGCCTCAAGTGCCCTGCCCCGAAGCAAAGTGGGGGCAGGAAGTAGGAAAGGCACAAGCTAAGGTATTTTCCCTCTGCCTTTATACGAGGAAACCGCAGCGCAGCTGCGTCTTTTCTAGGAAGAGAACCATGTTTCAAAAAATCGTTGATGCTTGTGAACAAATGGGAACGGAAGAAGAGGCCATCAAATACATCACCATCGATCCAACCAAAAAGGAGGTCATCATGTGAGTACTCTGAACTGTGCTTCTCTTCCAGCAAGAACAGTGTTTG